TGCTGGGATTACAGGCTTGAGCCACTGCGCCCGGCCTGGTTTTGTTTTTAAAAAAAATTTTATAGAGATGGGGACTTGCTGTGTTTCTCAGAGTGGTCTTGAACTTCTGGGCTCAAGTAGTCTGCCCATCTTGGCCTCCCAAAGCAGTGGGATTACAGGCTTTTGGGAGGCTGAGATGAAAAGAGTAGCACCATACACAGCAGCCTGGCCATTGATTATGTGTATGGTGCTACTCTTTTTACCAGGCTATTCCCTGGGCATATGAGACTCTGTGTGTCAAGCCAGGTCCTCTTACCTCTTTCCTTATGAGCCCTGGATTGACAGTAGCATTAGTCACATGACCTTCACTGACACCCAGCTCAGAATCATGGCAGTCAGTTCCCCCTCTGTCCCTGGATTGTCATCAACAGCATCCTGCAGTTTCTTTGTATTGTCTCCTAAGACTACAATGTCCTTCCCGCTTTCTCTTTATGGCAGCTCTTCTTCACAAGCATAGGACTCACTTCATCGAGCACTTCTTATGGGAAAACTCTGATTTCTTCCTACCCAGGATTAGCTGAACTCAAGGTTAAGGACACAATCCTCTAAAGCTACCAGGTCTGTCCAGCTCTTCTGACACTGACTACAAGTTTGGATCCCAAAGCCACTGTCAGGTTTACTAATTAGCTAAAAAGACTCATAGAACTCCTAAAACCTATTTTAGTTACAGTCATATTTATTACAGGCAAAGGGAACAAATTAGAAGTGACACAGAATGTGAAGTTGGAAAGGTTCCCAACACAAAGCCTCAGTATCTTCAGGAACTCGCTGTGCCCCAGTCTGGCATATGGCAATATGAGCTTATAGTGTTGCCAACCCAGGACACTCACCAGCTCTTCATTGCCCAGAATTGTACCGAAGCCTCATGACATAACCACAGTTGATTGTATCATCACATGTTTCCAGCATGTCATCTTTTCCAGAGATTCAGTGTTTATGTTATATTAAGCTCTAAGCTTCTAATCACGTGGTTTAGTGTTCTGGTGTGGCCTGAGTCATCTCTTCAGGATAAACTGTGGAAGGATCCATAATGAGTTACCTGTTTGCATAAACTGTCAGTTAGGGCCATTGGGTCCCACTATGAGTAAAAACATTTTGGAATTGTTTACAGGTTACTTTCCATGACTTCACACAACAAGCATACTTCTTTTGGGGAATTAATTTTTGTTGCTTACTTCCTATCTTCCATGTGGGCTCATGAGGTGCTCCTTCCTCTTGTTCTTGTAGCAACACAGAACATCCTTGCTTAGTTGCTTAAAGGAAGCTTTCCATGCACAGTATAATCGTTACTCTGTCCACCCAGGTCCAATGTGTAATTGTGAAGGTGGCCCCACTACAAACTCATTGTCTCCTGACCCGGCCTCTCCCTACTAGGTCCCCCTTTCAGGATATCCTGAGTCCAGGGACCGGAATAGAAAGAAATTGCAAACCCAATAATTTGAGATACAGAAAATTGCAAACACAGAACCAATATTTTTATCTATCGTTTTTCACAGAAATGGTAATACTCTTTTTTCCGTGGTGTCCTTTACTAACAGGCCCTTTTGTGCACTGGATTTCTTGCAGGTGACAAAGGAAAGCCTAAGACCACAGAACCTACTACTTGTGATCCAGCTTTGTCAGAGGGAATCTCACTTCAGGGACAACTGACAAAAGGAAATTCAGTGGCCTCCCAGTTGGGGCAAGCCAAGGATCAGGATGGGCTATCAGAAATGCAGGAAGGACACTTAATACCAGGAATAGATCCCCAGGAGAAACTTCCTGGGAAAATGAGCTCTGAATGTGATGGTTTAGGGACAGCTGATGGTGTGTGTTCAAGGATTGGACAGGAGCAAGTCTCTCCAGCAGATACAGTCCATAGCCATAACTCATGTGAATCAGGTAAAGATCCCATGAATCAGGAAGAGGAAAATATCTTTAAATGCAGTGAATGTGGAAAAGTATTTAACAAGAAACACCTCCTTGCTGGACATGAGAAAATTCACTCTGGAGTGAAGCCCTATGAATGCACAGAATGTGGGAAAACCTTTATTAAGAGCACACATCTCCTGCAACATCACATGATCCACACTGGGGAGAGGCCCTATGAGTGTATGGAGTGTGGAAAGGCCTTTAACCGGAAGTCATACCTTACTCAGCACCAGCGGATTCACAGTGGAGAGAAGCCTTACAAGTGCAATGAATGTGGAAAGGCCTTCACCCACCGATCCAATTTTGTCTTGCATAACAGGAGACACACTGGAGAAAAATCCTTTGTGTGCACAGAATGTGGGCAAGTCTTTCGACATAGGCCAGGTTTTCTTCGGCACTATGTTGTCCACAGTAGTGAGAATCCCTATGAGTGCTTGGAGTGTGGCAAGGTCTTCAAACACAGGTCATACCTTATGTGGCACCAGCAGACTCATACTGGGGAGAAGCCCTATGAGTGCAGTGAATGTGGGAAGGTCTTCTTGGAGAGCGCAGCCCTCATTCACCACTATGTCATCCACACTGGGGAGAAGCCCTTTGAGTGCCTCGAGTGTGGGAAAGCTTTCAACCACCGATCATACCTCAAGAGGCACCAGCGGATTCATACTGGGGAGAAGCCTTTCGTGTGCAGTGAATGTGGAAAGGCCTTCACCCACTGCTCTACTTTTATCTTGCATAAAAGGGCCCACACTGGAGAAAAACCTTTTGAGTGCAAAGAATGTGGAAAAGCCTTTAGCAATCGGAAGGACCTCATCCGACATTTCAGCATCCACACTGGAGAGAAGCCCTATGAGTGCGTGGAGTGTGGAAAGGCTTTTACTCGCATGTCAGGCCTCACGAGGCACAAGCGGATTCATAGTGGAGAGAAGCCTTATGAATGTGTTGAGTGTGGGAAATCTTTTTGCTGGAGCACAAACCTCATTCGACATGCAATTATCCATACTGGAGAGAAGCCCTATAAGTGCAGTGAATGTGGAAAGGCCTTCAGTCGCAGCTCATCCCTCACTCAGCATCAAAGGATGCATACTGGGAAAAATCCTGTCAGTGTAACAGATGTGGGAAGACCTTTCACAAGTGGACAAACCTCAGTTACCCTTCGAGAACTTCTTTTAGGGAAGGACTTTTTGAATGTAAACACTGAGGCAAATATTTTGCCAGAGGAAACATCTTCCTCTACATCTGATCAACCATACCAAAGAGAAACCCCACAAGTGTCTTCACTGTGAGAAAACATTCTGTTGCTGAACATTACATGTCATCTGAAGAGTCATGTTAGAAATTCATTCCGTCTACAGCCTTATTCTCCATCTGATAATTTATCCTGGAGAGAGACCTGGTGGTTATTGTGCACATAGGAAAACCTTCAGCTGCATCTTTCTCCTTAGTTTACAGTGCAATGTTATCTCAGGAATTATTTTTAAAAGGAGGAGGAAACAGAAAAAAATGAAATGCAAGCACACATCTTTTCAGACTTCTCTGCCAAGCCTGCAGCGCTTTGTCATAGATTCCTTAGTATATTTGGGGGAAGGGAAATGTTTCAAGGTAAAGGGCCTTGACCCTTTTTGTGTC